CGTACTGGCCGGTGGGAGGCTATTGGTGGTAGTAGGCGGTCCCGTAAATAACCAGGCCCTAAGCCATGGAGCGCTTTAAAGGTGGTAACCAAAACCTTGAAGCGCACCCGGAAGACCACCGGGAGCCAGTGCAGCTCGCGCAGGAGAGGTGTTACATGGGAGCGCCATGTCGCTCCCATTACCACCCGCGCGGCCGCACTCTGCGCCAGTTGGAGCCTCCGGGTGCTCCTCAAGGGGAGCCCCATGTAGAGAGCATTACAATAGTCCAGGCGGGAGGTGACGAGGGCATGAGTGACCGTGTGTAACGAGTCCCGATCCAGAAAGGGACGCAACTGGCGAATCAGGCGGACCTGATAAAAAATCCTCCCGGTCACGGCCGTCAAGTGCTCTTCTAAAGACAGCCGTGAATCCAGGAGGACGCCCAAGTTGCGAGCCCTCTCCGTGGGGGCCAATGATTCGCCCCCAATAGTCAGCGATGGCGTCAACTGGCTATATCGGGACGTCGGAAACCACAGCCACTCGGTCTTGGATGGGTTGAGCCTGAGCCTGTTCCTCCCCATCCAGATCCGTACGGCCTCCAAGCACCGGGACATCACTTCAAGAGCATCGTTGGGGTGATCCGGGGTGGAGATGTACAGCTGGGTGTCATCAGCGTACTGATGGTACTCCACCCCGAAACCACGGATGATCTCGCCCAGCGGCTTCACATAAATGTTGAACAGGAGAGGTGAGAGGACCGACCCTTGCGGCACCCCACATATGAGGGGCCTCGGGGTCGACCTCTGTCCCCCTGTCAACACAGACTGCGACCGGTCAGAGAGAAAGGAGGAGAACCACTGCAACACAGTGCCTCCCACCCCTAACTCTTCCAACCGGTGCAGCATGATACCATGGTCGATGGTATCAAAAGCCGCTGAGAGATCTAACAGGACCAGGACAGAGGAGCACCCCCTGTCCCGAGCCCTCCAGAAATCATCAACCAATGCGACCAATGCCGTTTCCGTGCTGTATCCGGGCCTGAAGCCCGACTGGAATGGATCCAGATACGTCGTTTCATCCAGGTGCTGGGGGAGCTGTTGTGCAACCACACTCTCAACAACCTTCGCCACAAAATGAAGGTTGGAGACCGGACAATAATTCACCAACATTGCCGGGTCCAGGGAAAGCTTCTTGAGGAGAGGCCTCACCACTGCCTCTTTCAAGGCGGCAGGAAAGACACCCTCACCCAGCGAAGCATTTATAATCCCCTGGAACCAGCCTCGTGTCACCTCCCGAGAAGCCAGCACTAACCAGGAGGGACACGGGTCCAATAAACAAGTGGTCGCGTTCAGTCTACCCAGAATCCTGTCCACGCCCTCAGGGGTCACAGGATCAAACTCATCCCAGATAACATTCTCAAGACCTGCCCCAGTCCCTCCCCCTGAGACTATCCAGTCGGAGTCCAGATCTTCCCGAATCTGAGCGATTTTGTCATACAGATATTGAACAAAATCCTCGGCTCTACCCTCCAAGGGGTCCTCCCGCGCTTCCTGGTGGAGCAGGGAGCGGGTCACCCTAAACAGGGCGGCCGGGCGATTATCTGATGACGCAATAAGAGCAGCAAAATAGCTACATTTCGCTGCTTTTATCGCCACTAGGTAATTCCTAATATGAGCTCTTACCAGTGTCCGGTCAGATTCAGAAAGACTGGCCCTCCAACTACTCTCTAGGCGTCTTTTCCGGCGCTTCAACTCCCTCAGCTCCTCAGTGAACCAAGGAGCTAAATGAGATCGGCGCCGGGTCAGAGGCCGCAAAGGCACGACCCGATCCAGAGCTCCAGCGGCCGCCCTATCCCAGGCGGCCACTAGGTCTCCAGTCGAGGCGTGTGCCAGATCCTCAGGGAATGGCCCAAGCTCCATCTGGAACCCATCTGGTTCCATCAGGCGCCTGGGGCGGAACCATCTTACCGGCTCCGCCTCCCTGCGGCGGGGTGTAGCGGTTCGAAGGTCGAGACGAAGGAGAGAGTGATCAGACCATGACAAGGGCTCGGTGACTATATCCCCTATCTCGAGATCACTCAACCACTGTCCAGAGACAAAAACCAGATCCAGCGTGTTTCCCCCCGTGTGGGTAGGGCCATGAATTAACTGGGTCAGGTCCATGGCTGTCATGGAAGCCATGAACTCCCGAGCCACCTCAGATGCCTCACCAACGGACGGCAAGTTGAAATCCCCCATGACCATAAGCCTAGGGGTCTCAACCGCCACCGTGGCGATGACACTGAGTAGCTCGGGCAGGGCTGCTGCCACATGGCAGGGAGCCAGGTATGTGATCAGCAAACCCATCTGAACCCCGTGGCCCCATTTAACAAGGAGGGATTCACAGCCGGCCGTCTGAGGAACAGTGGCCTCCCTCGGTCTCAGACCTTCATTAATAATAACCGCTACCCCCCCGCCCCTACCCTGCAACCTCGGCTGATGGAATGCGCGGAAACCTGGTGGGCACATTTCAACAAGAGGGACCCCCCCCTCTTGGCCCAACCAGGTTTCCGTAATACCTGCCAGGTCCGCTCCCCCCTCCTGAACAAGATCACAAATGAGGGGGGCTTTATTTACTACAGACCTGGCATTGCATAACATCAGACGGAGGCCAGGGCCCTGAGGATCTGCGCCACCTGGAAAACGAGTGGAGCTTTGGGGGCCGGAGCGCGCCACCGCTAGAAGACAGCGGGCACGCGCTCCCCTAACACGATATGGCCCCCTGCTCCCGCCATATCTACCCCTCCCACCCACAGTACTGATGGTAAAAACCTTATCTGGATGAACTTTATCCCCCCTCTTGACCACGGGCCCCCCACCCCCCATGCCGTGCTCCACAGCCTTACCTGGCCCTCCCCTTAGTGGGTTATCCCCCATACCCACGGCTTTACTTCTGATCCAACCCTCCCCCCCCCGGAACCCCTTAAGACATTTGCTAAAACTTTATATAAAAAATCCCTCAGCCCCCTCTTCGCGACATGCCACCTCTCTGGGTTCCAAAGCCCTTCATCGAGGTAGGCCTTCGATAACATGGAAGGCCAGGCTTGCGAGAGGGGGGAGTCTCGCAAGGCAAAGAGCTCAGCCGGTGAATACATTCCTGCAAGTTCGCCTGGGGAAATAGAGTCAGGCTAAGGATTCAATGATGGTACATTTAAAAGTCCAGGAGAGACAGTTCACCATTTTGGCGCGGATCAGAACCGGGGCTCCACTGTCCTCTCACGGCAGTGGAGAGGAGTCTCAAGCCGATGTCCTGAGAAAACAATGACCAAGCCACCCTCTCACGGCGGCTGGTATCGACAGGTCTAATTCAGTGGCAATAACAGCAAGGTGACTCTCTCGGTGACCACACCCAGGCTTAAGCCTCTCCTCACAGCAAGGCATTGTAAATGTGACTGGGACTGATGATATAGCCGGAAACCGGGGGTCAATTATAGTCAGGTCAGGGGTCCAATAAGTCCAATGCAGTCCAGTGCCGGTGCAGATAAGGTCCAGATCAAATGGCCACGGCCCCGCCCACGCCCATAACCAGGCCGCGGCGGGGAGGGGAAAATGGATACAGGCCAGGGGGAGGCAGGCCAGTCGCCCAACTTTGCCAAACCCCCACTCTCCATAGGGTCTTCTAATCCCCTTTAAGCCCCGGTCTTCAGGGGTCTTCAGAAGTCAGCAACCAGTTAGACTGCATTCTTCCCTTCCTCCCTCCGCAGTAAATAACTGACCCTGGTAAAAAGGTCTAAAGTCGGTCTGAGAACAGCCAGGATAGCGCCATTCCACCCAGCACCGCCCCAGCGGCCGTTGTTTCATCCCCAGCCGCCGCAGCCGCCGCTCCAACCGTCGCGGCCGCTGCTGACAGCTGGGAACCATATCGGGGTGCTTTTCCGGGGGGGGACGCTCCAACGAGCCGCTGTCTCCCCACACCCCTCCCCGCTCCGGCCAACGCTGGGAGGGCGCCGCTGGGGGGGGGACACCAAGGCAACCCGGCGCCGCCCCGACCTTGCTCCAGCCTCCCGTTCACCGCTGCCATAGCCTCGCGGCGTTTTTCGGCTCCAGCCGCCCACGCCGATCATCCAGGGAGCTCAAAAGCTCGCAACAGGCCGCCCACACATTCCTCTTGCTGGGCGGGGGCCAACAGCTGATATTCGGCCCCCCGAGAGTCCTCAGTAAGCCCTATTTCTCCTCCGAGGCATCGGAGCTTCACCTACGAGCCGCCATCTTCGCGCATGCTCAGTTGCCTTCAGAAGTTTTACACACACACACACACACACACACACCCAAAAACATGATTCAAAGTAGCTAACTATGCAATTCAGTACAAAAAATATAATTACAGCCTTATCACTATTTAAAACATTTAATAAGAGCCCTATCTTTAAACTTCAGATTAGAACCTTATTTTTCAATAGATCAGTTCAAATGGCAAACACCAATTTGGGTAAAAGATAATAGAGATAGGATCAGTGGTGGTTTGCCACTGGTTTGGACCAGTTCACAAGAACCGGTAGTAAAACTGGTGGGAGGCCCCACCCAACAACCCGGATGTTGTCATCGGCGATCTGCGCATGCACAGAAGCTTCTGCGCATGCACAGAAGCAAGGTGCGGGCCCGAGCGAAGCAAGGGCGCACGTGTGATCCTGTTGCGAACTGGTAGTAAAGGTAAGTAGAACCCACCCCTGGATAGGATGCTCTGAGATTGCTCCCTATGGTTTCCCCATTGACTTTTCTTGTAAAAAGTTGGCAGGGAGTGTTAGAAATGACAATCACATAATCATGGCTGCCTGTAGTGGTGCAGCAGCACTAAAACAGCACAACATTACCAAATTTCAATCCTGTCATGGGTTGCAGATTTTGGACCCATTCTTTAAGTTAGCTTATTTGAAGTGCATTGATTCCAAAATTGTTGGTCTGTGATGCACCATTTCACCCATTTGAAAGTTACAAAAAAATCAAATGGACATGCAAATTTTAGTAGTATATATAGTGGTGTACCTGGAATGCTCTGTCTTCTTATAGCTAGTGCTCCATCAGGTGGCTTTGATTGGTTTGAAGATTTAGTATATGGACTGTCATCTGAAACAAAGAAAACACTGACATTGGGCATATTTTTCAGCTAAAGTCCTCAGTGTATTATATTGTTGCTCCATAGGACAAGAAAGAAAAAAAATGTTGAATGTTAACAGAAGACTTAATTTTAATCTGATTTTCAAGCAGCTTTTAACATACTATAAAATATTTACACAGAAGGCCTATTAGTTACTATTTGCATATTTACGTGCTTTAAGAAAAATGGGTGAGAATCTCAGAGAATAAGATTATTTCAGATTTTATAACAAGATGCTACAAATAACAATAATAGGAATATATTTATTTTAAAAATTACAAAACCCTTGGAAATGTAACTTTTCCCTTTACTGCTTGGAATTCTTTTGAAAATCACTTCAAAGTAGCAAAACCATTATGGAAATTATCTTAATTATTATAGAGCCTGTATCAATTTATCACTTTTCCTCCCCATTCTTATGGAAGAGGTTTCTCCTCTTACAAGGAACCAAAATGATTAGATATCTGCAACTGGGCCCTCGGCCAAGAGATGCCAAGACCTCAAAGCAATCTCCATACAAAATTACACAAGAATAGGAGAATACATAAAGTCATGAATAAATAATGTATTACTACTACTGCAAAAGGGCATCCTTTAGTTAAGATGGGAAAATGCCCTCCACCTGCAGAGGCTAGCTCCTTAAGGTCATCCTAGAATGAGCCTTCTTACTAAATGAACATATCAGTAAGTCATATAGTAGGAAGGATCTGCATTTGATTACCCATTATCATAGCAATGGGAATGAGCAATGGGTATTTTTCACATCCCAGAAAAATACCATGCCTGGGTTCTGTTACCTGTCTTTTTGAGCAACTGGCACAAGTTCATTGGTCTGAAACAGTGACGTTGCCTTTGTAGTGAATTATGTACAATTGATCACATGATGCACCTAGAGATTTGCCTCAAGTGAGTCTTTCCCTACTGCAGTGCAATTGTTAAGGGCAGAAACAGGAGTCCAGGCAGTTTAAATGAACACAGGTTTATTGTATGCTAATTCTCTTCAAGCAGATTCTTGTAGAGCAGAAGTGTCAAACTCAAGGCCCAGGGCCCAGAACTGGCCCGGAGGCTACTTAGATCTGGCCCACGGGGCCACCCTGGAAACAGTGAAGGACTGGCCCACGGTACTTCTGCCAGTGAAACAGGCTCCCGAGCTCCATTTCGCTGGCAGAGAGTTGCAGGAGGACATGGCAGCCGAAAACAGAGCTTGGGAGCCCATTTTCACTGGCAGAGCACTCGGGTCACCAGAGGCGCCCCCAACATGAGTGACGTTGAACTGGCCACACCTATCCTGGCCACGCCCATCTCAGCCCCCAGAGGACAAACACAACCCTGATGCAACCTTCAATGAAATCGAGTTTGACATCTCTGTTGTAGAAGGTATTAGCATACAATAAAGCTATATTCTCACTACTAATGCAAGTTGGTCAAAACAAATTGGTGGCAGATAAGAGTCAACAGAATCCAAAGTGGGCTGGAATTAGACCTCTTGTGGGAGTGAAAGGACTCAAACCGATGGCACATTTGACCCTTCCTTTGGTCGGGTCATCTCCTATAGCAACACACACCTAAAGTGTAATGTTTTATTAGTGATACTACATCAATAGTATCATACAACCCATAAACAATCATAAACAATACAATCATACAACCCATAAACTTTAAAATTCCTCTATACCAATGGGATCAAACATTCTGATAAGTCATATAGTGGGTTGTTAAGTTTGGCTTAGTCACCCATGTCTGATATATGGTATAGATCTCACTTAGCAACCACAGTTGGGACTGGCAACTCCATTGCTAAGCCCTGTGATTGTTAAGTGAAAAATCATGAGACTACAATGGACATACAACATCACTTCTCATACAGTTATTAATCAAGTCATCATGGTCATTGAGACATTACAGGGTCACAACTTGTTAATTTGCTTCTGTGCTCTGCCTTGTTGGAAAGACAATGCTTGTTGGAAGCCAATTGTGAAGCACAGGAATAGTAATCACATTACCATCAGATTCTATGCTAGTAGTAAATGGAAGAATTGGTTGCAAAGATTTTTTTAAATTAACTTTATCATAATTTTGAACGATCTTTAAATAAGATGTGTGTGTGTGTGTGAATCTTGACATATCCTTATCAAAGCAGATGGGTAATGGAATTCCATTGGTGAAATTAATAGTAGAGCAATTGTCACTTAATAAACTCTGTTAATTTATATGTGTCTTTAGTCCTAGCAAATATACAACACTCATTTTCTTCTCTTTCTCTACTCTTTCCATTGTCTTGAATTCTCAGCAGGGGTGGAGCAGAACCGGTTCAGTGACATCGTATCGTCACTGCTACCGGCTCGGTGGAACCGGGCTGAACCAGGAGGAACCCACCACTGATTTTTTTTTTTATTGCAAAAGTTTTACAATTACATTTTCACCCCATTTCCCCCCCCAACCCACCCCAAACTCCCCAACCTAACCCTCCCCAACCCCCCCTAACCCTCCCCTCCCCCTGACTTCCACAGAATATAATCCCATCAAAATCCCCTTTTTATAAAACCTGAACCCCTCCATCCCCCATATAATTTTTCATCTTCACAAAATTCAAATATTTCTATTTTTATATAATACTTTCAGTGAAAAGCTATTTGATACTTCCTAGTTTGATATTTGTTCTGCACATAATCTATCCACTTTTTCCATTCCCATTCATAAGTCTCTTGTGAGCGATCTTTTAGATATGCTGAAATCTTCGCCATCTCTGCAAAGCTGGCCATCTTCAAAGTCCATTCCTCGATAGTGGGCAAAGCTTCATTTTTCCAATATTTACCTATCAATAATCTCGCTGCTGTTATCATATACAATATCAACTTTGTTTCATCCATTGTAAAACCCTTAACTATACCCAGTAGAAACAATTGTGGGGAAAATTGATTTTTTTTCCTCAAAACATTCTGCATAACCCACCAAATTTTTATCCAAAAAGCCTTAACTTTCTTACAGGTCCACCAAACATGATAATATGTAGCATCTAAACAATCACATCTCCAACATTTTGGCTGAACATTAGGGTACATACACGACAATTTCTTAGGATCTAAATGCCATCTATAGAACATTTTATAAAAATTTTCCCTCAAATTCTGCGATTGTGTAAATTTAACATTCTGAACCCAAATTTTTTCCCATGTTTCCAACATCACTGGCTCTGCAAAATTTTGTGCCCACTTAATCATACAATCTTTAACCAATTCAGTTTCTGAATTCCTTTCTAACAAAACGTTATAAAGCCTTTTGATATGCATTGGACCTTTCTCTCTTATATGTCTAACCAATTCTTCCTCATGCAACATAATACCAGTTTTTTGGTCCTCTTTCCATCTCAGTTGAAGTTGATTATACTGTAACCAAGTTAAGTTAATCCCTTCATCCAACAGTGTCTCTAATGTCTTCAGTTGCCATCTGCCCGCATCTGTAAAAAGAACTTCTTTATATAAAACCCCCCCGAGTGACATTATATTTGTATTCCACATGATATGACCAAGATCCAGCCATAGCGGTATTTTATAATCCCATTTGAATAGGTGCTTCTTCCAAACTCTGATCAAAGAATCTCTAAGTATATGGCTTTTAAACACTTTATCCACTCTGTTCTCATAAAATAAGTAAGCATGCCAACCAAATTCGAGATCAAACTTTCTATATTCAATATTCCAGTCTTTTTCCTTCCAAACCAATCACTTGCTTGAGTCAAAGCTGCTGCTTCATAATATAACTGAAGGTTTGGAAGTTTAAGACCTCCCCTTTCTGGAGCATCTTGCATAATTTTCAATTTTACTCTCGGTTTTTTCTCGTTCCAGACAAACTTATTCAATCCACTTTGCCATTCTTTCAGTTGTTTATCACTTTTAAGCACTGGAATCATTTGAAACAAAAAGAGAAATCTTGGCAAAATATTCATCTTAACTGCTGCTATTCTTCCAAGTAAGGACAGCTGCAGTTTTTTCCAAGTCTCTATATCTTTCTGTATATCTCGCCACAACACCTCATAATTATTTTGAAACAATTTCATATTTGATTCTGCAACCTGAACTCCTAGTTATTTAACCTTTGGTACAATCTCAAAACCTGCCCTGCTTTCAAGTTCGTGTTTTCGATCTTCTGTCATATTTTTAACTATCATCTTAGTTTTTTTCTGGTTCAGTCTAAATCCTGATACTGTGCCATAGTCTTTTATAATGTCTTTCATCTGGATTATTAATTCCATCGGCTGTGTTAGGGTAACAACCAGATCATCTGCAAATGCCCTTATTCTGTAGTCCTCTTGCCTTATCACTATACCTTTCAAGATATTTGAGTCACGTATTGTATTCAATAAGACTTCTGTTAAAATAAATAACAATGGGGATAACGGACAACCTTGTCTTGTTCCTTTTTCAATATTAAAGTCTGTTGTCAAACTTCCATTAATAATAATCTGTGCCTTTTGCTCTTGGTAAATTGCTGAAACCGCCTGTATAAATTGATCCCCAAAGTCCATCTTTTTTAAAGTCATTAATAGAAAATTCCAGTCCACCCTATCAAAGGCCTTCTCCGCATCCAAGAAAACCAGCACTGCAGGGATCTGTTTATTCTTCTCAAGATATTCCAATAAATCAATAACTTGCCTTACATTGTCCTTCATATATCTGCCCTCTATAAATCCCGCTTGATCATCATGAATCACCTCTTGAACTACTGGCATCAATCTGTTGGCTAATACTTTTGCGTAAATTTTATAATCATTATTCAGAAGAGATATTGGTCTGTAATTCTCCGGTTTTTTAGGACCTACTTGCTCTTTTGGTATCAAAGAAATATAAGCTGTTTTCCATGATGGGGGTATTTTACCCCCTTGTTGTATGTTACAAAATAAGTCTCTGAGTTGTTCCACCATTTCTGCTTGCAAAGTTTTATAATACACTGCAGTCAAGCCATCCGTTCC